GACGTTTTCTCCTATTTCTCCTCCTTGCTCTTTAAAGCTCATTTGATATTCTGGCCTCCTCCTTTCCTTACGCCCTTCTTGCTTTCTCTTCAGGTTTTTATGTCTCCTTCTCTTCTTTTTCCTGTTGGCGTAATTTCAGGAACCAGAATTTCCTGAAGTTTTACCCTGGCATTCTGTCCTTTCCGCTCTTTCCCTAGATGCTCATTTTCTTTTTAAACTTCATGTGGCACTTGTGGGCATTCAACCTTCAGATCCATTGGATTTTCCCTCCTGATTGACAGACATTTGTTTCCGAAGGCCTGTTGGACATTTCCACCCAGGTGTCCCACTGGCACCCCCAAAGCTCCTCTTACTGGCTTCCTTGTTTGGATAAATGCTTCTTCTATACCCCAGAGATACAAGTTTCGAACCTCAGGGAAAGTATAAAATCTTTGTAATAAAATCAGGCATCAAGCTCTTCCCCTTCACCTTACAGGGACAAGGTGCCTAATCTTACAAAGCCTCAGTCTTCCCACAAGATTATCAGAAAGATTGTCGGAATAACACAAGTAAAATGCCTCACACGGCATCTGGAAAATGACAAATGATCACTGAGTGGTACCTGGATTTTATAACTTAAAATTATAAAATTTTACAGAATATTTGCAAAATATTCTCTATGTGTTGACTGCCTCTTCTTATAAAATTTTGTAATGAATATTTTAAAAATAAAGATAGAGTTAGCTACAATATCCCTCTGTGTGGGGACATCAGGGGCAACTTTTGGGATACCCTGTATAAAAGGGGGACTAAAATAACTGAGTGGACTGCTTGGCTGGCAAAGATTAGGATCGTATAAGTTTATTAGTTACAAAGTTATCTGTGTGTAAAAACATGTGGAAATGCCAACTCCACCTGCAAACTCCAGGGAAACATACTTTTAAAACAGTATCCTAGGCTTTAGGAAAGTCAATCTTTCTTTAATCTGAGTAGGGCTAAGTAATACACTAAGGTCTCCTATCAAATATACTCTATTTACTAAATATCATCAGGCCAAGTTTTTTCTGTTTGTTTGTTTGCTTTGTTTTGTTTTTGACCAGGGCGGGGTTTGAACCCACCATTTCCGGTATATGGGACCAGCACCCTACTCCTTGAGTCACAGGTGCTGCCCGTCAGGCCAAGTTTTGTCTTAATTAACTGGAAAGTCTTGTGCCTAACTGTCGGGCCCAAATCCTGGCTCCGACACCAGTTGGGTTACTCTTAGATATGTTCCCTAACAGTCCTGTACCTCAGGGTCCTTGTCTACAAAGTGAGGATAAAAGAGAACCCACCACATAATGTTGTTGAAAGGGTTAAACAAATAAGTGGAAAGCATTTAGAGCAGTTTTTGGCAAAAAGAAAGTACTCAGTAGGTCTACTAGTCATTATTATTCTGTGTTAAAATTGTCAAATATGTACTAGTAAGACAAGTTGTTACTAACTAAACCAAAACTCATTTGTGAACGTTCTGAACATGAGTAAATCTACAATTATGTCCCTCCAATAATGACAGTCATTAAAGAGAAAATTCGCTTGTCACAAAGCAATTTAGGTCGCTGCATAAGAGCAGAAATGAACTGTTAATTCTCTTCTGTGCCAAGCCCATCCCACTGAAACCCTTCACCAGGTCAGACCTCAGAAGGGACTGGACACTTTAGGGCCAGCACTGGACTCTGTACCCAACAGGGTGGGGAAAGCAAACCATTCTGCCTGCTGCTCCTTAGCCCCAATGGACTGAGTGCCCACAGCTACCACATGCAACTCAAAAGTAACTAGGGACTTAGGGGAACCCACAAACAGACAACCTCTGTGACAAGGTGAGGCAATTTCCTCTCTAGGAGACCCTTTGTTACATTCTTTTGTTTCTCTTCTCTCAGCAGCAAAAAAGTATTCAGTGAGAATTCAACCTTACCCACAACTCCTTTCTCAAGTTTTCATTCTCACGTTGACTTAGCCAATTCAAAACATCCTCAACCAAGTCATCCCTCCCGACCGTTAGATCCAAGGTGGGCTGGAGAAAAGGGGGTACTTCAGATCTTCTTTGTGGTGCAATTTCTGACAACTTCAAATTAGCTTTAACTCTTTCAAACTAGGAAAACAGAAATGTTTCACATCATTCTACCATTAGCACTAAATTTATTTCAATTTATAAAGAAGATAAACTGGCTCTGTGTATAAGTACACATCATCGCATTTACAAAAAAGAGCCTTAAATACATTATCAAAGACAAATAGTATAGTCCTTACTGTCAGTGAGCACAAGAAATATGGGACCTGAAGAATCAAAGACTTCGGGGCCGGGCACAGTGGCTCATGCCTATAATCCTAGCACTCTGGGAGGCTGAGGTGGGAGGATCCCTTGAGGTCAGGAGTTAGATAGCAGCCTGAGCAAGAACAAGACCCCATCTCTACCCAAAGTAGAAAAAACGAGTTGGGCATGGAGTCCCATCGACTCAGGAGGTCTGAGAAAGAGGGTCTCTTGAGCCCTGGAGTTGGAGGTTGCAGTGAGCTATGATGATGCTACTGCACTCTAGCCAAGATGACAGACTGAGACTTTGTCTAAGAAAATAAATAAATAAAATAAAAATAAAAGACTCTAGGGTGCACGGTGCCTGTGGCTCAGTGGGTAGGGCACCAGCCCCGTATACAGAGGGTGGTAGATTCAAACCCAGCCCCAGCCAAATTGCACCCAAAAAATAGCCAGGCATTGTGGTGGGCGCCTATAGTCCCAGCTACTCGGGAGGCTAAGACAAGAGAATTGCCTAAGCCCAAAAGCTGGAGGTTGCTGTGAGCTGTGTGA